ACATGCACATCACATCACGGCTTCTAGTTCAATTGGGCATCACAAACATTTAATTCAACCACTTCTCAAATCGAAGATCATGAATTAAGAACTCGAATATACCCATCATCTATTGTGCTTTGCATAACAGCTTAAGGTCAACAAGTATCATAGACTAAACGTATTCGGTATAATGCTACACTCATCCAATTCGCAATGCATTGTTCCTTTATTATGATTTTCAAAGCTTAAAAATACTAAAAAACTTATGGGTTATTTGTAACATCTGGAAACGAAACAAGAACACAAATTACCCTTATACGTTTTTTAAAAAACACAAGAGGAGAACTTATCTAAAGAAGTGAACGGCTGGTTGTTATGCGACGAGGAGGAACGAAACAAGGTTTCCCTGTTTGGTAATGGAGAGACACTCCCTCAAAAGGGTTTTTCGCATTTTGTAGCCTAAAAGATTTTAAAATTTTCACTTTATATTTATTAAGGTTAATTGTATTGGAGGTCGCCAAAGTTTTAGTTTCGTCTCATTTTAGTTTCCAATATTTCAAACAGGCAACATTTAAATTAGTAACAATTTTTTTATTATAAACTTATCACGTGATACCTAAATATAGACAAAAAATAATTTGAATAACTATTGATCAAAATTTGGGTAGTTCTTGACCAAAAATGTGTAATATGTGTAACTCTTGATTAAAATTTGGATATCTTATAATAAAAAATGTATGCTTTGATTAGCTCTTTGGCCAAAATTTAGGTAAAAATTTGGTCAAAAATCCAAATTTTTTTTTTTGCTTATATTTAAGTATTATGTGACAAGTTTATAATAAAAAATTTATTAACAATCTGGACGTTAGGAATCACATAGAAACATATTCAATATTTTATGGACCAAAACAATACAATTAAAATATTATAGACTAAAATGAAACAAATTTTATATTTTAGGGACATTCAGTGTAATTAACCTTATTTTTTAATGGTTAAATTTGTTATATTGTATTTTCAATGTATCAAAAATATTGAAATATGACCCTTCTATTTACTTCCGCTATTTTTTCTCTCAAAACTCACCTCATTCACGCTAATGAAAAAACTAACAAAATGCCAACAGAATAGTCACATGACTATATTAAAAGTGAAATTTAAGAAATTTAGTCATTCATGGTACAAAGTTCAATTCACTCCCCTCAAAAAACATATAATGGTTAATAATCATACGTGGTCGAATGTACTTGAGAGGGTCGAGATGTTTGTCTTATTGGTTGTCAATGAAGTCATTCTCGCGATCTAGAATACCACTTTTCAATTTAATCCTTCAACTTTGGAAAATTATTTTAATTTGTCTTGTTCTTAAATTTCATGCATCCAAATAAATATTTTTTTTCTTTATATATTATAATTAGGAGCATAATTGGTATATAAAAATCCAACGACCTAATTATCTTTCATTCTTGTATCTAAAACTTCAACATTGTCGGAAAAAAGAAAGTAACATTTGATAACATTTTCGGTTTTTAATTTTGAAAAAGGAGAAAAAAAATTATTTTATTTTTACTTGTAAAAGTAGAAACACAAAACTTATTTGGTTAATAAAATTGAAAATATAAAAAAAAATCTATTTGGTAACCAATTTTTATTGTCCTACAAATAATATTTTTTTTCTTGATCAACGTCCTACAAATAATTTAATGTTGTTATTTTCATTGGAAAATGCTATTTGCACTTAAATTATGTACTTGATAATCACTATCATTGAATAGATAGTGGGTCCCAATAATTATTAGGACCCACAGTGAACTCAATAATTGTAATTATCAAATATACATTTTAACTCATATTTTTTAAATTCATATAACATTACTTATTTTTGTTATTCATTTGAACGAAGTTAATGCAAAAACCAAAAAGTAATAACATTGGTAGCCTAATTTGAGATATCTCATAGTCCATAGTTTTATAATAAATATTTGATTTACATCCTATTAGTTAAAAAAATTGTAACAAACATTACAAGTAGTAAGGAAATAATTCACGAACCCCATTACATCCACAAACATGCTTGCATTAGAACATGAACTTACTAGCGGTGACCTATGCGACTCATGGTATTTCAATCTCTGTCATCACAATTCTATGGAGCCAAGAATTTCATCTTGGGTGGGCACACTCTAATTATAAGATTTAATTTTTTTTCCTCCAATAAAAAAAAGAATGTGATATATTTGTATTTTTAGCATCATATTTGTTAGTTAAAAATTCATTAAATACAAAAAAGTCAAAAGTTAGTATACAAAACAAAACAAAAAAGTGGTTAATTACAACACTTTAAAAAATGGGGATAATTGTAGTCATTTACAATCGACTCTGACAAATTTTTATATCTATGCATGATAAATATCAATGCCATGGAAAAATGTCCTTCGTTATATAATTAATCAAGTTATATGTCATTCATTGATCACTTATTTGATTATATAACCTAATTTTAACAATCTTCATTATTAAAAATGTTCTCTCGACTATAGTTATTAGAATCGAACCGAATATTGAACCGACAGATAAACCAAGTAAATAATTCATTGGTTCAACCGTTGGATCAACTGGTCGGACCGGTTGTATAATAAAAAATAAAAATATATAATAATTTAGTTAAAAAATATAAAATATGTTCACTATACATATAATTTGTCATACAATTTATGAAATTAAGTAAAAAAATAAATAATTATATTTACAATGAATTTACAATACTCACTAGAAGAAATTCATTAGATTTGCAATAATTTTGCAATGTCAGAGGATCCCATGAACTGGTCGAAAAGAGCCATCAGCTAACATAATATGTGAGTGAAATGAACGAAATTAAAAAATAGGAAAGATTTATCAAAAATCCAAATTTATAAACCAAGCATCCTTCCATAAATGAACTACTTCTAAATATTCTATGTAACTAAAAATTCAAATAATAAATAATAAAAATAGAAGAAATAAATCCTAAAAATTCAAATAATAAATAATAAAAATAGAAGAAATAAATCCTAACCAAACTCTAAATAATACTCCTAATTAAAAAAAAATTCCTAACTAATATAATAATACTAAAACAAATAATAAAATATAAGTCTTCAATTTAAGCACATCCAATTCTTTTTCGATCTCTATCACTTGTCCTTACCTCCTAACAAAATGGCGTTGCCAAATGTAAGAATCGTCATTTGTTGAATGTTGCTCGCACCTTGATGTTTAACATGTATGTGCCAAAATCACATTGGGTTGATGTTGTTCTTTCTTCGATTTATCTGATTAATCGCATGTCTGTCCTCGTTTTGAACAACAAATTTCCTTTCTCCTCACTCCCCGTGTCTTTGGTTGTATTGCAGTTGTTCATCTTCTTGGTTTGAGTGGCATAAACTTTCACCTCACTCGATTAAATGTGTCTTTTTGAAATATTTTTGTACTTCAAAAGGTTATCGCTACTATAACCCTGCTTCTTGTTAATACTGTGTCGATGTTGATATTACAGTTTTTTGAGTCATCTTCCTTTTTGTAAACAACCTATTAGTTGTCGTTGGGTCTACACAGTGAAGTATCATCTTGATGGTTCAGTTGAGTGTTTGAAGACTCGTCTGTTTGCTAAAGGTTAAACTCAGACATATAGTATGGATTACGATGAGATTTTCTCTCCTGTTGTCCATCTTAACTCTGTTAGAGTTCTTATTTTGGTTGCAGTGAATTGTGATTGACTTTTATATCAACTAAACATCAAGAATGTCTTTTTACATAGAGACCTACATGAGAAGATATAAATGGTATAACCTTCAGATTATGTTGTATCTGGTAAGGAACAATTAGTGTGGCGTCTGAAAAAAGCACTATATCACCTGAAACTATCACCACGTGCTTGATTTTACAATTACATGCCCTAATATTACCTATGTTGTAGTAGGGTTGGTCAATTCATGCACGCTCCTTATAATCCTCATTGAGAGGTCTATGCTATTCTTCAGTATCTGAAAAGAGCACCAGAAAAAGATTATTATATCGTCTTTCATCATCCATGATTGTTACTGGCTTCTCTAATGCTAACTAGGCAGGTAGTCGTATCGATAAATGATTTACCTCATGTTATTGTACGTTTATTGGTGATAATCTTATTACTTGGCATAGCAAAAAACAGAATGTGATTGCCCATTCAAGTGTTGAGGCTGGATATCAGACTATGGCTCATACTGCGTGTGAGATATTGTGGGTTCATTCTCTCCTTCATGATAGAGTATTGATATGCTTTGTCCTATGGAGATACATTGTGACAAAACACATCACAATGGACTGTCATTTTATTTGAGATCTCTTGATGCGTAAGGAGATTATTACACTATACACATCAAGTCTAGTGATCAGTTGGGTGACATCCTTACCAAACTATTGGCTCGATCTGTCTTCAATAATTTTTGTTCCAAGCTGGGCATCTTTGATCTTTATACTTTAGCTTGAGGGGAAGTATTAGAGTTCTTATATTTTTAGTAATGGCAGGTAGTATTGTAATTCTCATACTATCAAGTTTAGTATAAATAAGAGAAGGTAGGGCAATATAGCCTTCCTACCAGATTATTATTATTCTTTCTCCTCACTTTCTTTTCTCTTCTTTTCTTTTCTACTTCTTCATAGACCCTCATTAAATTCCCTAATTTAACTGGTTACAATTACACCAATTTTGCTGAATATAACTAAACATGATTCTTTTTTTTTTTTTTTGTGCAAAAATGAAAACCAACTGGATATTTTAGCTATTGGATTACACTATTAATCATCATTCAATAAAATAAGCAACAACTAAACTGCAATAATAACAATTTATAGTACATATCACATGAATAACTAAAACAACATATTGGTATTAGAACAACATCATGATCCTGTCAATATATAACCCCAAAAGTTGTAATTTCATAGGCCATATCACAGACACAAACCATCTGCAAACCATCCCAGACACAGAAATGCTAATTGTAGCAACACACGACAATATTTATTAAGTGACTGACCTTTCCAATTAGAAACTTAAGAGCCCAAAGTCCAACAATATCAGCTTTAGCTTCTTCCAGAGATGAGTGGAGTTCTTGCAGCTCCTGTATCAAACAGGATAAACATGGCAATACTGCTATTAAAAAAATGTTCTCACATTATTATGTAATCCATTATTATGTAATTGCTACTTTGCCCCATTATTATGTACTCCTTCCACCCTACAATGACCAACCCTATGGAAATACTCAAATTTTAGAAGATGCAACTAAGACATACACATCTTAAGTCTCAAGACAGTAATAGTATTATCCACCATTGTTTAGCATAATTAGTGGCCCACATATTACGTGCCCGTAGATTTATTCTACGATAACGGGCATTGATGGAGATTATGAAATCTTTCATGTCTTGAAGTTTTAACAATCAACAGTATAATTGTCATCGTTGTAATCATCATCATGGTTACTGATCATAGTGGCACAAAATCTATGTCACAATCCAAACAAAAACCACATTGGACCTCTCTCTTAAAAGAGCAAGAGACACCACTCAAGCTAACACCTACCATGTCACATTGGATAAATAATAAGGGAGAACTGAAAAGGCAAAGAAGGCTAATCTCCATGGGCTGAAGAGAGTATTTTAACACCTTCAGTTTTTATGTATCAGCTCTTGTCATATGTAAACACTCCCTATATACTGTGAATAGTATAACTACAGAAAATTAATATCGAAATTGATAATCTAGATCAAACTATGCACAGAATAGAAAAGAAGAGAGAAGAAATCTGAAGGCTAAACTAATATTCCATTAATGAAAAAAAGGAACAAGAGACAATAGGTAGTGAACCCTACAACAATAAAAAGACTAGACTACCCTAATGGTATGTAGATATAATTACCATCTTAACAGAAATTATATTGATAACTATTTTAGACCTTGGTTGATGTAAGCAGGCTATGGTGCAGTTAGATATATCATTAAAACGTACTGCCTTTGGCAACATATACACACCCATCCAGTTGAATAATTTTGTCTATTAACCTGTATACAAGGCTGTTGGTTAAATAAAAACATATTGGCAAGATATGACAAATATGCAACACTGTAAATATATTAGATTTACTATGTAAGAGAAAGAAAAGTGTTGCCATCCGAACAAGTTCCATAGCTAAAGTGAATCAATGAGGACTGCAAAAGGAGGCATCGAGCAACAAAGAATTAGCATCAAATTTGATTAAAATGCAACCTACCAATCTCACTGTAGACGTTTGCCCATTTGGAAGTGTTATGGTATGAGGTCCAATCCCATGGCAGCATTCGTGGCAAATTGTGTGAGTGAAGAAAGAGTCAAAGTCTACAAATTCCCGTTGTTCCTTCATTATACATACATCAGCTATAGGCTGAAGAATAAGCTTGAACCTGATTGGAAGAAGTAGATCAGATTTATTAAAAAAAAATTCAACCCAATGTAAAAAATTCAACAAAACTGCCAATCAATAAATTTCTACTCATCAATGTATGTTAGAACGGGATTATAAGTTCTCCAAAAAGAATAATACTTCGCCTCTGAAACATTCTTAAGCATGACCATAGCTGTGCCTCGATCTTTTACTATACGCTCATCATTTGGAAGATTAAATGCAACAGTTTGAGGACCCTTCACATCCTGCCATACAATCAAATTCACAAACCTCAATTTCAGATCCAGATATATCCAGTAATTTTTAGTCGTAAAAGTGGAACACTAAAAGTTCTGATAAAAAGTATTTCACTAAAAATGAAGTACGTTTATGTGTCCTACATAATACTTTTTATATGTAAAAGTCAATTAACAAGTTTTGACTAAAAGACTCACTGATTTGTACACAGTGGCAGGTGAAGCTTTACCATTACCTTGAGGCGAGGTGTATGGCCTAAGGCACAAGTATCCTGAAGTTTTGATTCAGTAAAAAAAATTGAACTACTAGCCAAATAACAAAAATCCCAAGACTTTGAACACGAGAAATTTTGAAAATCTTTAAATATTACTAATTCATGAAGGTGTATAGATGTGGCAAAAGCTTTAACACCCTCCCTAATGCTGACTCAAACATAACCAGCTGCCAACCTACCCATAGAATTGACAGTGAGTGCAGAGACCCACTAGGCTCATATAGTAATTTACCAAAGCAGGGAATGGGACAAGTTTCAACAATGTGTACGTGAATTATGTAGTATTAGATATAATTACAATCTTACATGTGAAGATACTTCTTGTTAATGAGTCTATGGAGACTACCCTACTACTGGTATTGTAGGCTACAATACCTAGTAGCTCATTGCGAGTTACCCACCCATAGTATGTTGACTACTCATGGTTGATGTTTAGTTGTGGCACTTTACTACTTTGATAGTCATGCTGTTTTAAAGTGTATAACCACATCTTATACACCTTGAATTTAAGGCTTTCAACAATAGCCAAAGCCTGCCTTTATGATTCTTAGAAAAATATTTCCTACTAAGCAAAATATTAAGTCAAATGAATAATTAAACAGACACACCAATAAAACCTCAAAATTATGCAACCATAACAGCAGTATTTGCAACAATTGATTTCTATTTCTGACAACAAAAAATTTAGGATAAGAACTCTTTGTTCCATTAAAGGAAGCTTCCAGAAGCTGCCATTAAAGCAGGAACATAGTCTTACATCCAACCTTTTTAGAATGAGCAAATTCATTTCACGAAAAGAGAAAACAATGTACAGGAAATTATTTTTCATATATTTCCCTAGGACTCACCCCTGCATTATAAACAAGCTGGATGACACGAATAGGAGCAGCAATGACATGATCCGATTTGTAAACATTGTCCAATGGAAGATTTTGCTCCAATACCTATAGCAAATCGGTCTTTATTTGAACAAAAGGAATAGTAAAAAGAGAAAAGGGGAAATAGGTGGCAGAAATTTGAATGAGGATGAATTAACAAAGCACCTGTAAATGGTCCCCAAAGAGTTTAACTTGAGCTGTTGCTTTGTCATCACGAACTCCAATGAATGCCTCAAATGTAGCCTACAGATACACGATGTAAAATAAGCTACATATGCCACAATACCACATAAGAAGGAGAGAGAATAATAAGTTCTGAATCTGAGTTATGCTTTATATAGGCAAGCATCTCTTTGTTCAAAGTGTATACTTGTGATGTTTATGTTTACGAGTCTATTGGCCCGCTCAAGAACTTCAAAAGTTTACTACATGTCTTAACTTCCTTCATAAAGAATGCTTTCAACTATCCACAATAAGGTATGCAATTGTGATACTTGGTGTATTGCTACATATCCAAGGACATAGCATGCATAGATTCACAGGTTCTCATTCCAAGTTGATATCTTGGTTCTTTAATTTGGTGCCTTCAGAGCATATTATTTACTCATTCAAAGCAAAGGAAGTTTTTTTATAAGATACGAAAACTTTTATTAAAGATAGGAAACAGTAAAACTGTACAAATATGATGGACAAGAAATCCAACCACTGGTACAAATTACAATAAAGAAGAATCTGAAAACCAACACCCTTAGAGATTTATAGGTTTTGGCAGTCAGTGGTTTCTGCAACTTTCATGCACATGATAAATTGCATTCATTGAAACGTTATCCTGCCTGATGCAAAGGCACCATTATAGTCCTCAGCACATGTAAGTGTAATCATGACAACTCAATGACATTTTGAGTCTAGGTTTTGATTTGAGTTTTTAAACAATAGTATAACCTTGCTAGTTGTAACAGAACAGCATACCCATCTTCAAAGTTAAATAGATGTTTTTCTCCCATGCATATGCTACAGAAGAAAAGCTATGCCTTTAAATCAGATGTAAAACCATTTGAAACCATCAACTTGATGTTAGACCAAAGGATAATATACAATAAATTGTAAGTCATCCGGCGGATAAGTCCATTAAGCCTATCAATTGGCCATATCATTATGTGTTATCAAGAGAGTTAGGATTGGCACTAAAAATCTAGGCAACAAGAAAGAAAAATAAAATTCCATAAATTTGGAAGTTTCATATAAGGTCTGCACTGGCTTTATAAAGAAAATAGTAATTGGAGACTGAAATCATACCAGAACAAGGCTTACTAGCAATTGCAATCTAACTCAACTAATTCTAGTTAAGATATAAATAAGGGTGTAAAAGGAGGAGCTCGCCCATTTAACAAATACCTTGTATCCAAAGATGGCATCTTCATAAGTCTCATATGGGCCAATAGTAACATCCAATTTAGAGTCCTTGAAATAGAAAAGAAAAGAAAAGGTCATCAGATTTTTGCTTATAAACAGCAAAGAAGAAAGCACATAGTATTAAAAGAAAGGCAGCTCCCAGGATTGATCCATTTTTTAATCTCAACACTGATTTAACTGTACAACCAGATGCCATGGTTGGGAGTATTATGTCTTATGAGTTTGTCACTAGAAACAGATTGACTTCATGCTTTCTCCTTTTCTATTCAATCTACCATTGCCCAGACAAAAATGCCATTACTTCAATGTCTAAAATATGGAACACCTTAGGATATTAAGTGTGGTTATATGCAGCTACTAAGATAGATATGTAATAAAACCAGAAACCAAAAAAGATATAAGTAAAAATGAGTATAATCGTGAAACGGTGGAAGTAGCACCAACATGAAATAAATGAATAGAGAATCGACTTAGGTGGTTTAGACATGTTTATCAATTACTGCACTAGTGAAGAAGAGTGATGCTCAGCCTATTGACGATAATGCAAAGGGTAGGGGTAGATCAAAATTATGTTGAAAGAGACTGTAACAAAACTATATGATAGCTTATGGTTTGACAAAACATATGACCCTTTGAAGAACATAGTGACAGAACAAGATTTATGAAACCAACCCTAGATAAAGGAAAATGGCTTTGTTGAGTTGAGTTGAATTGTATTATTTAATAAAGTATTTCATAAATAAAACTAATAGAAAATATTTACAAGTCAAAAAATGCCCCAAGTCAGAATAGTCTCACAGACATGGCCAGAAACACAATTCTGGGGTGGAAGCACCAACAAGATTCTGAAATTTGATAATATTTAATTTAACGAGATTTATCATTGTAAATGTAAAAGGCATATCAATCATAAGCTCACCTAAGGGCAGAATTAAACCATTTTCATCAGAACACATAATAAGCTTCTATAAATAAACAACACTTAGTGATGCCATCGTATACACCAAACAATAGTGAGATATTGATTATTACTTTAGTAGCAATATACTAACCAATTCCATCCACGCTAAATCTGAGTCATAATAGTCATTTGAAAGGAAAGCATCAGCCTTACGATGTAGCAGCCTCTTCAAACTACACAAACAAGAATGATTCCATCAAAAGTTTGATAATTGGCAGTTGTCTATTACCACTAAAAAATGAACTACCAACAAGAAGGACCTCAAATAGTATACCTAGGTGAGCTGGTCAAGTCTCCGGCTTTATGTAGTAAATCAGCAGCTTTTGCAAGGAAAGTCTTATACTCTGAAGAGTAAGGAACCATAAAAAGATCATGACCATGACTAGAGCTGACTGTAGCATTCTCGGATAGTGATGCGTCCAAAATGAATTCACTATGCCTTTTGAAAACATTGAAGAACCCTGTTGCCTCTTGTTTTTTATCCTCTGTAAGACTGTCCTTCCATAATTGAAATTCCTATAGCAAGAGAGAAAACTAGTCTTCAAGCTGGAATGAATATCACATAACTATCAATGATGGCCAAAGTTGCAAATTCCAGGCAATGTCATACAACTAGATTAAGTTTGATGCTATGAAAGACATGTTTTTGAAGCATGTGACAATGTCCCAGCCTATACCATTTTGTCCATATCTGGAGGGTAAAAATTAGCACCAGGTGGTTTTAGCATTGGAAATGCAGTTCTATACTCAAGGCCCTTCCACCCAGTTATAGGCTTTGTAGCTTCAGGAAGCAGCTTAACAGCTGAGTCTGCAGTCGTCAAAAAAGCCACATTCTCATCAAGGCAGGACCTGCCAAAAGAGAAATTATGTCCACAACATATCATCTAACACCTTAAATGTATTGCAAATGAAATACACGGGTGCTACTGCAAATATACCAATATTCGGTAATGCTAGATGGACTTAATTTGGGGACTCAATCCATTATTGCCCTAGGATTTTAACCATGGATCCAATTATATTATTGCCAATTCAATGGCAGCAATAGATTAGGTCCCCAAATTAGGTCCAAGTAATCTTATTGCTTAGTAAAATAAACTAATTAAGATCAACTAATGTGACAGTGCATTCAAAACTAAAACATGACCATAAGACCCACAAAAAAATAAAAAATATAATACATCATATGTATAGACTCAAAGGCTAAATTCATAACATTAATAATGTTTGAATTACTCCAATATTACTACAATAATAAAATCGCTCTGATACCACTTTGTTAGAATCAAGAGGACTAAAAATGAAATGAAAGAAAGTAAAAGAGGATATGAACACTCAGAAAAATAATTTTCATACAAGTTAATTACAATTACATACTCAACTTGGACTCTTCAACTTTTACTCAACTATATTTCCTTCTAGCACTAGACTATATGTTTTATTTATATAGGTCATACCAATGTTATGAAAAGCTCGCCTAGGCGAGAAGCAAAACGAGGCAAGGCTATCTTGCCTTGAACAACCAAGGCGAAGCGAGCATGACTGAAGCGATTAAAAAGCGAGAAAAATAACACATTTGTTAAGTTTTTAAAGTTGTTTTATTTTTTAATTATGGACTGTTGGATTGTTTTATTTTTATTATAAACCACTAGATTGGGACAATTGGAACAAAATTGTGATATGCCCATACACCCAATTGCCCCCTTATCCCAATATATACTACACCCAAACCCTAATTTTGCCTAAAGGGTCAGACGACTACTGCTGCTCCTCCTTCCTCACTAGTCCACAAGTTTGCCGCCTCCTTTTCTTCTTCTCTTTTTAGTTTATCTTCTTCTAATTCTTTTCTTCTTCTAGCTCCACAGCTTTGCAGTTGCTGCTTCTGTCTTCTTCTTTAATAAAAAATGCCACACACTAGTACCTATTTTTTCTCTATTTCTCTCCTCCTATTCTCTTCTTTTACCTTTTTAATTCTTCTTTTTCTTCTTCTTTGACAGAAAATACAGTACGTGATGTTTCTCCTCTATTTATCATGCTTCTCTTGTTGCTTCTCCTGCTTCTACTTCGACAACAGAGGTACGTTCTCTTCTCTTCTCTCCTCTTCTCTTCTTCTGTTGATTCTTCTTCTTCCGGTTCTGCTTTCTCTCTCTTTCTTCTCCTCTTTTTACTTATGGTTTTGGTTCTTCTTCTCTGCTCCTTCTTCTTCTTCTCTCGTTCTGTTTCGGGTTCTGCTTCTGTTTCTTCTTCTTCTTCTTCTTCTTCTTTTTTTGCTTCTCTTCTTCTGATTTTGATTCTGCTTCTCTCTGCTTGATGTTGATTTGCTGTAAATGCTTATTTTGCTGATTCTACTTTTTTTTTTTTCTACTTTTGCTGATTTTCTATAATGCTTTTGCTTATTTTCTGTACTAATTATGTACTGTTGATTATGTATTGCTGATTTTGTGCTGCTTATTTGATTTTTGATTTTTGGTAATACTGATTCTGCTGATAGTAGCGCTGATTTTTTGTAATGTTGAATACTGATTTTTTGTAATCCTGAATGCTGATTTTTCTATAATGCATTTGAACTTGATGATTTATAAAATTAGAACTTAGATATTTAAAAGTAATTAAACTCAAATATTTACTTCTTTTTTTTAACTGTTCGCTTCACTTTGATGAAGTGTTTCGCTACGCTTCTCACTTCTCGCTTACACTTTGGGAGTCTTGATCGCTTCAGTTCGCTTTACGCCTTAAATAACACTGGGTCATACATATATATAACTCATAACATTACATTCACACACCACTACACCTATCAACTCTTCTAACTCCTAAAATATTAAGCCATCATTACTTAGGGAATTAATACCCACAAATAATAGTCTTCCATTACTTATATATTCCTTGCCCACTAATACACACCAAATTAACACACCTTAATAATATAATAAACTCTAAAACAAGTTTATTTTCCAACAAATAGAATAGAATCAATAATAGAACAAACAAAAAGTCTCAACACAAATAACGGTTCCATTCAATAAGAGAGAGAAAAATCACATAGGAAAAATTACTATGTCGATCGGCCGGCTATGAAACATGGACACTCTCAAAAATGTGGTGTATCCATATTAGACACCGACACTCTCAGATGCGTGTCCGATACTCTTTTATTCATATTCATAATTAAATAATAAAATTTGACTAACAAGTATCTTATATTATGAAGAACATATAAGCACCAAGACTAGGTATGTTGAAGTTGTAATCAAAATATAATAATAAAAGTAAAAGATACAAAAAATTAAAAAAAAGAGGAATTGAGAAAGTGAGAGCAAACATTTAAATTATTTATGTTGGGTATATGCTTGTCTACAAAAAAAAATAAAAAAATTTGATGATTATTGACTATTGATATTCCTTGGTCCAAAAGTCCACGCTAGATAACTTGACATCAAAGCCACATACCATAAAGTATTGATTTCTTTTTGAATGAGTCATTATCACTATATTTGCGAATTATATAGTTTTATCTAGAAAACATAACTATTTATAGTATGTCCCCAATGTATCCATGTCTTACTTTTATTAGAAATGTTATGTCGGCATGTCTGTGTTGTATTGTATCCATCCATGTTCATGCTTCTTAGCCGATCGAAGCACCAAGCAGAGTCGAGGAGTCACAAAGAACACTAGTGATCGAGGAGTTGCTTAATGGTAAAGAACCAAACAAGACAGCGAATAAGAGAGAGACTTAACTTCAATTTTGTAGGTATTCCTTCCATTCTTCTTTTTGTTGTCTTTTATGTAAGTGACTAATCTCTGCGACTGTATGCAAATCGTTTGAGTGATTGATCTATGCAACTCCATGACGAATCGTCGAACTCCATAATGAATCATCTAAGTCATTTATGAGTTTGTACAAGTCCCATGTAATTGAATGCGTTTCAACGATTCCATCAAGTTGTATCCAATTCAAGATTGATTTGAGTGAGACTCATGGATTTAGTGAAACGTCTATCATTAGCTTTTAGGATAAAGCCGAGTCAAATATGACTTGATTGACTAGTATCGGACATGGCTGATACTTTGAACCCTCATAACCTACGTAGCTAATACACTCAATGGTCCTATTGGCATTGAACATGGCCATAATATGCTTCCATGTTGTATTATTCAAGGAGTGGGCAAGTGTAATGGTCATAAACATTATAAGATAGTGTAAAATCATATACTATTACCCTTTATTTTAAGATCGTGTAATACCAAATTGAAAATGAGTGGAGAGCTCCCTTAAAGATACAAACCAATATTAACTAGCCCTCAACCAAGAATCAAAATTTTGTTTCGGTGTATTATTTCGGTCACCTAGAAAACGGAAACGTTTCGACGTGTTTCAGAAACATTTTAACCAGTTTCAAAAATATAATGAAAAAAATAAAAAATTGAAGAATTATTTTTTTAAAACATTGGTCGAAATATATTAAAATATCTTAAAATACCTTGAAACATTCTGAAATAATTGTACAAATACATTGAAATATTACAAAATATTTCGAAACATTATAGAATATTTTGAAATATTAGAATTTTGATTCCATCACTGATTCGTTCTTTTTACATCCTCCCACACATGGGACCCAAGCTCATCTTAGGGCTACCAAACAAACATGAATACCAAGATATTCAAATAGGTAAGAGACTTGGTCCAATAACCACCCAATGACCAACTTTGATACTATTTTATAGCATCCAACCAAAATTAATTAGCTTTGAGTGGAGAGACCCTTAAACATAAATATCAACATTAGGTGTCCGTAATCATTCAATGTGGCATATAACTAACCTTAAGTAGCCATAATCATTTGATGAAAAATACAAGCTCTCTTATCTCCTCACTCATATGGGATTCAAGCTCGCATGTGGGGGTTTCCAAGCAAAAAGAAAAACATGTATACTGAGAAATTTAAATGGGTTAGAGACTTGGCCTAATGGCCACCCAAGGCCCAACTCTGATATTATGTCATGCATCAACCAAAAACCCATTGGCTATGAGTAGAGGGGCTCCCTAAGTATATAAATCAACCTTAAGACACCATAATCAATCGAAGTAGGACACAACGTAAGGCCCCCTAAAGTTGATTTATATGCTAAAAGGCCTCTCCACTCATAACCATTTGGTTTTTGGGATGAATGCCCTAACACTCATAATCGCAAGATGTATGTGCATCGCCTCATTCAATAATTGTATGTTATTTTCCATTTATGGAAAGGTTAACACCATTACATAGATGAAAAGGGAAACAAAATGTGTAAGTTGCGTTTAGAGTCCAATAACACCAACCTCACAAAATGCTATACTTTTCTCATATTCATATTTGGAAACCCAAAGAGAGATTCATGGATACGAGTTTCAAGTGTCGCATGGAGGTTGTATGATGCGACAACCCTAAAACATCAAGGCACTTGGACATGGTTTTACTTTTTTGCTTGTTATCTGGTATTTATTTATGTGTTTACTGCTTAGTGTGGTCAAAACTGTTATTGTATAAAAAATTTATGGATAAATTTGCAAAACTTCTTCATAATGGAAGTAGATATATGAAATGTGAAAAAATAATGTTTGTTCTACAAATAATAAAGACTTGACAGATTTATAAATAATGAATAGAAAGAGGCCACAACATAAAATTTCGTCCTCAAACTAGTCTTATTTGAAACCCCAACTTATTGTCAAGCAATTTCTAAATGTTGTATATGACCTTTATGGTAAAATATATGGAAAATTAGAAGGATGGGCACTTTTTAAATTTTCAGATATACTTAAAAATATAAATAGAGAGCATTGTGAGAATGACATTTACTTTTTTTTTTTTTTTTTTTTGGGGGAGAGGGAGAGGAA